AAAAAAAAAAAGAATTGTTCCCTGACTGTGTTTCGGTACTGCTCCCAGGTACAGCGGATAGGATTGGAGTGGCTTTACTTCAACTGTTGTGATTCATCTGCTTTTATAGTAGCTGGTCCTTGTGACTATTCCAGCGATTCAACCCTCAGAGAATAGAATGTCTGATCGCTGAATAAAAAGGCTTTTTTTTTTTCTCTTTTAAACATGAAAACTATTTTTCTTACTTTTTATTGATTCTTTGTGGGTTTTCCATTCCATTCATCTTCCTGCTTCCTTGCTTCCGCACTCTGCCCTTGCAACCTCCCTCCCTCCCAGAAACATTTAAAAATAAAATAACATAACCAAACAAAATCCCCCAAAAAATATTTTGGCATGGAAATTTTAGTGTAACACAGTGAGTCACACAGTATACCTATTAGGCCATAATCTTCACTTGTAAGTGTTCATTGCAAGGAGTCATTGAACTGGTTTGAGGCCTCTAGTTTGTGATACACCCTTGATACTGAGTCCTCAATGGAACTTCTTTTGTGTTTCCTATTGTTGCCTTGTGTCCTAGAGAACATGTAGTGTTGGATCTGCAGGTGTGGCTTCTTCATATGCTCACTCTGTCACAGTGCTCACCCACCATGGGACATGCCAGGGTCCCTGACACATCATAAACAACAGCATTTGGTGCTGTGGTCACCAGGCTCTCTCCATGTTCCCTCCTGTCCATGGTGGGGCAGCCCAAGGAAAGTGCAGACCCTGACTCCAGACTGACAACACAGTTTGAATTACCCATCTGCTGGGATACTCCACACAACACCCGTTTTGATTGGTAAAATTCCCTCCTCTTGGCCTGCTTTCCCTGACAATCACCTCTGGCATTTCCCACCAGCGGGGCTTCAGGCCTAATGCCCTAACATGGCCCTCACTGAGTGATAACTTCGCTTCTGGGACCTATGAATTCTTTTGGGCTACGGTCCTTTTGGTTTCGTGCCTTTTTGGACTCCATGTTGTTTGGATTTATTTTGACCTTTCGGCTTCATGTCTTTTCAGACTCTTTGGTCTTATTGCCCCACAACTTGTTCTTTTAGCTGACTAGTTAGAGAATGACCTGAACCAATTGCTTATCTTTCTGCATTAAATGTGGGAAACAAGGCAACAAGTCATATCCCAAACTTTATCATTCTAACTTCTGCCAGCAGACGAGTAAACGGGACGAGTTACAACATATAGTCATCATCTTTGCTAAGGACAACTATGTGACGACTGCCATTTTATTTGACGTTAAGATTGAGAGGAGTCCCAGACTTGTTAGCTTCCTTCCCTCTCCAAATGGAGCCGGAAGCAGCCTGTCCCTACTGCCAGAGCAGCTATGTAATCACCTGTCACCAGCTGCCTTTAAAACATTGGCTATGCTTCTAAAAAATTTCTCTTCCATTGACTCCGTTGCATGTGGCATGTTTGCATGATGGCATGGCTTGACAGGACCCACTGACATTTTCTATTCATGCAGGAACCCCACCTACAGTGGATCTATTCTCTACCACTTGCAATAAATCTGTATTCTCATTCACTGATGGTTTTGATTCTCCATTTTTCTTTGCTCTAAAGACCTGTGAATGTCTGTCTACTCTCTCTTTCTTTAAATACCCTCTTTGCTCATTACAAAGGGAGAGTCAAGAGATGAAAAAGCCAACTTCTTCTCACTCATTTTTCATTTAAATGTATGTGTGAATGTAAGCTAGATTTAACTGCATATGTGTTTATGCGACTTAAATTCAACTGTGTGTATATGACCATGTGATACATATTTTAAACAGCCATAATGAGTTCGTTTAAAAAACCCTAATGAGCTCTGTTCATTGCATCTCCTTCTAGACTAAGGAAAAAACAAGCTTCAAATATTTTAAATTGGTATGTACTTTTATATGATGTTGTAAAAAGGTTATATCTGTTACAGCATACTGTATATGTGATATAACTCTGCTTTAAAATACATCCTTTATAATGATAAAAATCTAAGGTTATAAAGATCTATTTCAGGTTAAAAGAAAGGTAATTCTCAAACATAAATCTAACCTGTTAAGCTGAAATTAGTTACAGTCAATCTGGAGGACACTGAGTACAACATTCCTTCATAACCTCTCTACTTGGATCCAGCTCTCCACGCAGAATTTATACTGCAATCATGACACATATATACCAAATAGACAGCCCTCAATTGCTCAGAGATCTGGGGAATATGGCATTTATATGTTTAATTGAAAAAGCTTAACAGAGAGACAGGTTGGCTCCTGGCACCACCCATTTCCAGAAGGACCTCCTGGATGGATGGAACCAGAAGGACCTCCATCCATAACATGCTTCATCAGGTGAAAGCACTAGCCACTGAGAAAAACTGCCTTGCATTTCAACTACTTCTGACCTCTTCAGATGTGGACCATGAGACACTGGAATTGACTTCATCATATCGCCCAGGGCATGGTAGGCTGGTTTAGGGTGTATGAAGGTGTTTAAGGAATGCAGTTACAAGTTGTTAAGATGTATACATGCAAACTATGAAGGTCTGAGGATAAAAAGCCTAAGTGATGACAAAGGCAAGTCACTTGAGAAATTTGAAAGTGTTAAATGTTCCTTTCATTAAGCTACTGTTATATTAGTACTCTAAGGGTCCATAACACTAATCAATAAATATCTGATAAACTATTAATCTGGCTCTGGGAGAGTACTACCACTATCATAACTGCAGGATCAAGATTTTAAACTCTCTTTCATAGTTTTCTAACCATAGACTTAAAAGGTACTTTTTATTGTCCATAAAAACACTAGTCACCGTTATTTCTGACATGAGTATATTGCTGCTTCTACAAAACAAATTTCAGTACAGATTATAAACAGTGGAAATTCTACTGTGTCCAAAACTTTATATTTTCACAAACTCAAAGAATTCTTATAAATTCCAGGGAGTCAACTTGGAGGATTCTCCTCAAACAGATCAGATGCCTCCTCCCTCAATTACCAGGCCCTAAGAGCCTAAGATTTTCCACTTTCCCTGGTCCTGGCACCCTATTCTTCAATTACCGGTATCTAAAGAATTGTTTTACCCTTAAACTTAACCTTTTCTTCTGCTCTGCCAGCACCTAGCCAGGTCAAGAGACAACAGGCAGATGCACAGATTCTTGACATTAGTAAAACAACCAGATATCAAGGATGTGACCAGCATCCCATCTTTCTCAGGTTCCCCCAAGATTTCAAAGCCCCAAAATTATCAGGAAACAGTCTTGAGAACTCAGTGCCCCTCCCTGGCCTACCTGTTGTCCTCTTTAATTTCCCCACCTTTTATAATGAGAAAAAGATGTGAATGCTAGGATTCAGGCATTATGCTGACCTGTCCTGTCATCTGTCAGGATGCACCCAGGAAACCCTGGCCCTCTCAGGGTCCTAGTCTGTACTCAGGTGCAAAATGTGCCTTTCTCCTCCCTCCTACCCTAATCTCAATAAACTCCACACTCAAGCTTTGTCTGCATGATAATTTATTTTCTGTTCATGGTCCTCACCCACCATGGGAACTTCCAGTGTCCCTCTCACACTAAAATCACAACACCCGCCATTCATAGATGAGGTACATGTTGGAGAAGGCTATCTCCTAATTCTTGTTTAGGTCTCAGTGGTAGCTGGGTTGGTTAGATCACAAGCTTCCCTCATCATCATCACCCAGGAGAGCTTTCCAGCACTCCCCATGCTAACTCACCTAATGTAGCAGACAGCAAAGGTCAGGGCCAATTCTTCTGCTCTGGTACATTCAGGTTCAGCTCACACACACTCACACAAAAATGATCAGCCTTACTGTCTTGATCAGGTGACATGCAGGGCCCATTCTCCAGAGTGCTGCACTTGGTGAGGGATAGACCCAGTTCTTCCATTTCCATACCCCTGTAGTGACAAGGGATTGGGAAGAGGAATATTTCTGTCACCCTTGCCATGCCATGACATACAGGGACAGGGGTAAAGGCAGCTCTCAACACCTATAGGCACAGTTCACTTGTGCCCCTCAACAACCGGGTCAGCTCTAATATACTGCCCTGGTAAGGTGCCCTGTCTGCTCTCTTGTGTGCTGCAGCTGGTGATGCAGAGTTCTTGTTTAAAAGATAAAAAATAAAAAAGGAGGAAGTGCTATGGGACAATGGTCTGTACCCTGTCATTTGTATTATTTTTAATAAGTGCTGATTGGCCAGTAGCCAGGCAGGAAGTTTAGGAGTGATGACCAGGAAGAAAGTAGAGGCAGGGCCACAAGAAGAGAAGAATTCTGAGAATAGAAAAGCTTAGTCTGCAGCCTTGACCCAGCCACAGAAGAAGTAAAATGTGATTGTTTTACCGAAAAAGTTACCCAGCCATGAGGCTAACACAGACAAGTATTATAGGCTAATATAAGTTATAAGGGTTAATAAGAAGCCTGATCTGCTAGGCCAAACAGTTTATAATTAATATAGACCTCTGTGTGCTTTCTTTGGGGGCTAAACAGCTGCAGGACCAGGCAGGACAGAAACCTCTATGAACACTCTTCCTTTCCCATGCTACCACATGATAGACTGTGGGGCTAGATCTCCTATTCTGGCATATTCAGGGCTCATTTACTCTTAACACTACCATCAGGAACTGTACTGCCCTTGGGAAGGGCAGGTCCCTGATCTATACAATGGTGCAATTGGAGAGGACCTAGGCCAACTCTGCAACCCTATCCTCACTGCTTTCAATGAGAGCAGAAGCCATAGACAGCAACACAAAGCATAACTATGGTAGGGTTATGGATCCAGACATGGACCCTGGTAGCAGACCAGGCCTAAACAATATAATGATCCCAACCGACAGTGCAAGTAACTTAGATCTGCATAAACCAACTGCAGTGTTGTCTTTGAAACCTCAAATGGTCTCAGGTGTGGGCCTAGATCCCAGGCATATACACAGTCTTTGATAGTGACAGAAAACTTGGACATCAGCACAGGTTCTGTCTGTGGAAGGACCACAGACCAGACATGGCCCTGGCCCCAGCTCAGAGTCATACAATGTCCTGGTCCTTGGTAGCAGCGCAAGAGACTTACTCAGGTCTGTATGGGCTTGGTAACAACACAGTCCTCATGCACCAAGAAAGCCACAGGTTGAGGCCCAGATACTGGAAATCAGTTTGATCTTTGATAACAACATGGCACACAGACATCAGCAGTCTCAGGCCACATATGGGCCATGTACCCAGACATGTTTCTTGTCAGCAGCTTGGGCCGGGATATCATTGTGGCTTTAACTGGCATTGCAGATCATCCAGATAGGCATGACCCAAGTTGTGGAATGACTTCCAAACACCAACATGTCCCCAGTTAACAACCCAGATCCAAGATATTCATTCAACTTTTGGTGGTAACAGGAGCCACTGACATTGAGAGACCCTGGCTGCAGTAGAACCACAGACCCAGACATGGCCAACTTTTATTGTTTGTGACTGCATGACTCCAGTGGCCCTGATGTAGTATGGGACACCCAGATCTATATGGCCCTGGTGGCAGCTTGATTGTCTAAGACCAACGTGGCCTCCGGTGTTAGCCCAGCCTGCAGGCTTCTGCATAGCCCTCAATGGCAACAGGAGCCATGGACATCAACTCAGAGTCCAGCCGCAGTGGGGCCACATATATTAGGATTTTGATGGCATTTAATCTGTGTCACTTTTAGTCCTTGATCTCCCAGGTTCATGCCATCAACTAAAGCAGTAAATAATCTAAATATTTGTTTCATATACTGTGATAAGAAGTGTCCGAGTAGTGATTTAACATGTTATTTCAAGACATAAACTGGATATGGCATGTATAAAAATTCCTGTATGTTGAAGAATGGCAAATAAGACATCCATTCTGCATAAAGTATTGCCTAATATTCAAGGAACATTTCAGGATTCATTGATGAAGAGATTACCCCACTATCTATGGAGAGGATATTAGCTTACTCTTTCCTTAAGAAAAAGAAAACACTGAAAAATAAAGCAGTCCTACAGCTTATAAAATACATCTATGCTTGTGCCATCCTAAAAGTAGGAATGATTTTATTACTTTCACTTTAATATTTTTGACATAAGTTGAAACGTGTAATATGTGTAAATGTATAACTTGACATGTTTAATTTTTAAAACATTTTTATCAACAAAATTGATCTCATTATTTGACATTTTATAAGGTTCTACTAAGTAACTTGCACAAAATAACTTCAGTTTCTATGTTTTAACATTTCTTTCAGATGATAATATTTAGCCTCAGCCTCTAGAAGATTTCATGTTTCCTCTCTTTATTAAGTGATTCACTGTCAATCTAGTTTATTCTGTTGGAAGATTGATTATTATACTTCAGTGACTTAAGAGCAATTCTTGAGAACTAATTCACTGTGAAAGTTCAAAAACCATAAATGGCATATCCTCCTGGTCAAAGTACTCTAAAACGAAAGTAAAGCGATTACAGCAATACTTTCCGTAAACAACAGATTTAGCACTGAGAGATCATGCAAGTTAGGTAAAACAAATATTTTGAGACTAGAATGTGGTTATACTTCACTTCTATCAGAGACATGATTTGAAGGAAAAGTTCATGCTTCAAAAGATTATAACAGGAAGTTGTAGTGGAGACGTTTTGAATATCAGTTCAAGCTCAGGACAAGGATTAGAGGAAGCCATAAGAAAATGTAGGGTGGTTAGCTTTTGGAAAAATCTTCAAGACTGCCAGGTCTCTTCTATACTTTTGAATTCGGTGAAATTTAGCATTTTCCCATTACGCTACAATGTTTGGTGGACTGAAAAAGCAAGCTGTGCAGTAAGAACCTGAAACATGTAGTATGGGAAGATCTTACCTAAATTTCTAGGTGATAATATGAGAAGACTGAACCCCAAATCCTTGTCAGAATATTGAGTTAAAAATAAAATGGTAAAGAAGACAAATCATTGCTATTCAAGGTAACATTAAAGTAAAGTTGAAAGTTGAATGGAAATATATTGCCTACAACTTAGAAAATCATTTTACCTGTCCAATATGGTTTGATGTACACACTAGCAATGATGAGTCTTCAAAGCCCTGTTTGAAATGAGAATTCATAAAGAAAGCATGGTTTTAGGTATAGTGAAAATGGATACCATGATGGGTAGAAATGCATGCTTGTATTTAAGAAGATCATTCAATTCCAATTAAAAACTGGGTAATTTTTCAAGATGATTATCCTCTAGTTTCATAGTATATGTGTAAAATTGTATTGAAAAGCAAAGATTGATAAAGACTTCTCAGAAAACAGTAATTTCAAACAGTTTTCTCTGATAGCAGAGATAGTGCATTATTTGAAGAATATGACATCAACATGAGTATATATTAGCAAATCAATAAAAATTGGTGAGAAACTACAGATATAAAAGCATCTGAGAAGATTAGTGGATCAAGGACAGCTAATTGCAAGTGTAAGCACTAGTTATTTGTAGAGAAATAATAATTTCTAAAATATGTTAAGGATTCTTCAGTAAATCACAATAAAGTGTGGTATTTATCAATCTAATATGCTGACCTCTTAATAGTGGCATTCACTATGAGATTATGGAATCCAGTTACATTCAGACTACTGCATTCCACTCCCTGTACCACATAATCTTGTAAAATATCATAATGTAAAATTTATTCAGTCCAACTTCAAATGTTCTCATAGTCTATCACAGACTCAACAATTTTAAAAATTTAAAGTCTCTTCTGAGATTCATGCAATCTCTTAACTATAAAATCAAAAAAACAGATCACACACTTATAACATATAATGGCATAGGATATACAATGCCATTCCAAAACACTGGGAAGGGAGTATAGTGAGGAAATACTGGACCGAAGCAAGACAGAAAACCAGTTGGGAAAACTCCAAATCTCATAGGTAAGTATAGTTTCCATTCCTAAGCAATGAACCTTCTTTTTGTAGCATAAACAGCTAAAAATATAAACCTACTAGAAGTGGGAGTTATGAAAGAGATACAAATATAGAATTCTTTTATAAAATTTCTCCCAAGCAAAATTTTAATTTTAAAAAAAATGTTAAATAATAGCATTGATAAAATCAAGTTGTAATTAGCATGGAGGACAGGATATATGATAAAAATTTATTCATCATAGAAAATCAATAAATATTGTGCAAAGAAGTAGATTTCTAAGCATATTACGTAGTGTGAAAACAAAAGCAATGAATATGATAAGAAAGTATTTAAAAGTTGAAGACTAAGGTAACTTCAAGCTCTGGAAAAAACATGATATTGATCTCCAGGACCACTGAATTAAATGAATATATCAAACAGAATAAATGCTAAATTTTATAATAAAGAGAAGTCAAACTAAATATAGAAAATACACTCAAACAAAATATTTCAAAATACAATTCATGAATTTACCATCACATAACATTTATGTGAGTAAAAATTATGGCAATTAAGGTTTGAAATACAAAGAAAGCTCCTCTTCTTTTGAATAAATGAGGAAGGCAGGTTGCTTATTGATGTGGGAAGGTCATTTGTCAATCTGCTGTTTCATTGGTTAATCAATAAAGAAAACTGCTTGGCCTGATAGGACAGAAAATTAGGTAGGTGGAGTAAACAGAATAGAATGCTTGGAAGAAGGGAAGTGAGGCAGACTCCATGCCTCTCCTCTCCAGAGCAGATGCTATGAAGCTCCGGCCCAAGATGGACGTACACTAGAAACTTCTCGGTAGGACACCACCTCGTGGTGCTACACAGATTACTAAATATGGGTTAAGCAAGATATGAGAGTTAGCCAAGAAGAGGCTATATATAATGGGCCAAGCAGTGTTTAAATGAATACAATTTGTGTGTTATTATTTCGGGGCATAGGTTAGCCAGGTGGCTGGGAGACGGGTGGCAGGAA